CGATGTGTGAGCGGGTGTGCAGGGCTAGAGGAAGAGCAGTGCTGAGAGAAGGACCCGGGAGGCAGGTCGGCAGCGGACCCGATCCTCGGCCACTCTGCCCTCGACTGTGTGGGGCCCAGGGTCCAAGGAAGGCCAGGGCTGGTGGCGGCTAAACCCATGTCAGTAGAGGAAGCCACCAAGGGAGGCCGGAGTTTGCTGGCCGGGTGGACCCTGGGGAACATCATCTGGCGCTTTCTCCATGGTGCACAGAGAAGGCTATAAGTGAATGAATGAATGAATGAGAAACCGGATTTAATTTAGCTCTAGTCACAGTCAGGCGACTTCATGAACAAGAAAAGAGGTGTCTCTACCCGAGGAAGGCGGAAAACCAGAAGGGTCCTGGCCCCGAGGTCCAGCCAGTTATCGGTCTTGATAAAACCTCAGCGTGGCCATCTGAGTACAAAGGACCGCTCGCCCTTCCTGTCAGTTGTTTGGCGTCCTGTCCCAAGCCTTTGAAAAGTCATCATCCCTTGACTCGTTGATTCTGCTTCCAGGAATCCTCCCAAAGGAAGTGAGCAGAGCTGCCGACAAGGGTTGCTGCCCCAAGGGGCTCCGTCTTCTCGGGGCAGGGATTTCCCCGGAGACTTGGGCGAGGAGCACTCCCCGGGGCATCCCTTGAAGGTTCTGGGGTGGTGCGTGTTCCGATGAGGGGAGCCGGGGGCGCGCTGTGCCTGGAGGATGCCGTCCAGAGCAGCCTTTGCTCGGCCCTCAGACCCCGCTCCGTGCCCGTGAAGGTGCTGTGGGGAGAGGCGGCGACCCACAGACCCTCGGGGCAAAGGGGGCCTTTGCTGGCGGGTGGCCCAGAACGCGTGTGAGCCCGTCCTTGTGATTTCGAATCCAGCCTCACTTCTGGGCACCTCGGCTTCTCCTGTCTTGCTCCGGAAATATTTCTGGAAGTGTCCTCAACGTGCCAGGCTGCTGCACGCCATCAGACTTGGACGGGACTGTGCTTCCCCCTCTCCTTCTCAGGTCTGGTGAACGCCTTCATCCTGCAAAGCCTCACGCAGAATAAATCCCCAAGTAGGGTTTGCCCAGCACAGTATTTGGGGGGGAGTGGAGCTGAGCGCTGTAGGGCGAGGTGCACGCTCCGCCGTCTCGCCACGCTTCCCACCGTGCGGCCCTACCCCACCGCCCCGCTGCTTACAAGCCGGCCAGCTGGGAGCACACTTTCCAGCCTGCCTTCCAGGCAGACGTCCGCTTGTCCTGCCGTCTCTGTTTCGCCACGTCCATCGCTGCATGTGTTACCCTCCACGAGAAATGCCAAAAATCGTGACTGTCTTCACTTCTGGGAGTAGCACGCGTGCTCAGGAAGTGGATGTCGAGAAATTCCACGCGTGTCGGAAACTCACTGCCGCACCCCCAGGCACAGTGCTGCTTTCGCGCTGGGGAGTGCACCGCGCCGAGATGAGGGGTGGATACGACACGGTCATCGTGGGAAAGTGCACCGGGTTTAGAATCCAGACTTTTTATGTCACATCGTAGGCCTCGATCGTCCCACGGTGGCGTCATTATTGTTCTTGTTCCCTTTTCTTCGAGGCGGGGTCTCACTCTGCTGCCAGGCTGGAGTGCAGTGGCTTGATCATGGCTCACTGCAGCCTTGATCTCCTGGGCTCAGACACTCCTTCCACCTCCCGCCCCAGTAGCTGGGATGCAGGCAAGCACCACCACACCTGATTATTTTATTTTTGTTTTTTTGTCAAGATGGGGTCTTGCTGTGTGGCCTAGGCTGGTCTCGAATTCCTAGGCTCGAGCAATCTTTCCGCCTCGGCCTCCCAAAGTGCTGGGATTCTAGACGTGTGCCACCACGCCCGGCCAGTGATAGTATAATTACTTTTAAAACCTGTTTATGGCACTCGACTCTTCTTGGGAGCTGGGGCTTCCGTTTTACGTCCCTAGTGTCTAAGCACAGCAGAATCTGGGCCGGCACAGGGGCTTGACTCGTGTTCGCTGAGTTCTGGAGCCGAAAGGTCCATCAGTCTCCGTCCCTGCCGTCAAGGAGTTCGTTCTGGAGGAGAGACACGCAGATCCACTCACCGTTTGATGCACGCATCCGTCCGTGCGGCAGGTGTCGACTGAGGGCCTGTCACACGGCAGCCGTTGTGCCGTCCCTGGCGGAGAAGGAAGTCCCCTGGCTGCCCGTGCTGATGTGTGCGGGGCAGGACTGGGCGGGCGAGAGCCTGCCTGCACAGAGTGCCCCAGCCTGGCAGAGCATGTCCTGGGCCAGCGGCTCTCTCCCCTGCCCCAGCCCCAGACCCCCTGGAGGGCTAGTGAGAACCCAGAGCTTCTGGTTCAGGACGGCCATGGTGGGGCCTGAGAATCTGCATTTTCAACACGTTCCCAGGGGATGCCGAGGCTGCTGGCCTGGGGAGCTGCATTTTGAGAGCCCCCGGCCAGGGGGCCCAGCGTGCTGTCCCGCGTGGCACAGGAACAGGGATGCCCGCTCGCTGTGGGGGAGGGGCAGGCGCCCGTGTCTAAGCCTCCCCCATTCCTCAAATCCCTGTGGGGAGGGGAGGACTAGGATGCTGCCTCTTCACACTGGGGTCCAGCAGTCTCCGCAGGACTGCAGAGGCCCAGGGCCGATGAGAAGAGGGTTTGGGGTGCCAGCCGTGCCCCCTCCTTCGGCGCTCTTGCCGTATGTAACACGCACTCTTCAGAATAACTGCAAGGGAAGCGTGGCTTCTCCCATTTCACAGATGAGAAAATGGGGGCCTAGGAAGTGTGTGTGGCCCGCCCGAGCCTGCAAGTCGCACATGGGGGGCTCTGAGCCAGGCTGATCTGAAAGGCTTCAAGCCTCGGCCGTTTCCCTGACTCTGCCGAGACCAGCCCGTGGTTGAGCCCTCCGCGGAACCAGCCTTTAAAAAGGCCTCAGGAGTCACTGCCGGCTGCTTGGTGGTGAGACAGCAGGGCAGGAGTCCCGTAGCACTGTCTCCGCATTCTGTCTGAGGGTGTCATGTCCGTGCCTTTTTCTCTTTTCACACGTGTTGCCAGGCAGCTCAGAGGCTTAGCCGTGCTATGCAGGCAGCAGCTTTTCTCGGCCCACAGTTCTTGGGTCTAATGATCTCCCTACCCTGTTCTTTTAAAACTCCTGTTACCCACGCCTTCGTTTAGAAGCGTTTCGGAATAATTTCCCAAGTAGGCGGATGGCACAGACTGATGAGTGACCAATCAGCATTCAGCGTGGAAAGGCTGACGTCGGCTTGGTGTCTGTCCTTCACCTTCTGAGGAGTGACCCGAGCCTGCCGTGGGCACGTGTGTCTGTGGCCTTCAGCTGTGTCCCCTGTGGTTGAGGGAATGAACTTGGGCCAGAGCCAGACCCGGCCTCGCACGCCGGCGACTCACGGCGCAGCTGATGACGTTGGTGTCTGGGCCTCAGTGTCCTCGTCTGAGATGGAGACGGTGACACTGCGCAGGTCGCTGGAGGGTCACATGGCCCAGCTTGCGTTGCCTGCCCGGTTCAGCAGCCGGTTCGTAGTGGGTCCACACCCGACGCTTCCTCCCGTGTGGCTGTGGTGTCCAGCAGGCTGGCCCTCGTGAAGAGCCTGGGCCGCATGCCCGCAGCTGCTCTGGGCTTTGGCTGGGACGTGCGTGTGGATGTAACAGCATCTTTGCCTGGCATCAGGGCGGCTGGCCCGAGGAGCACTGCCTCTCCCTGGAGGGGGCTCTGGGCTGGTGACGCCAGTTCTCAGCTGTCGGCCGAGGACCATGGAGGCCTCAGGCGTGTCCGAGGTCATCCACTGGGGCGGTGGCTGAGACTCCGCCAGCGCCAAGGTCGCTCTGCCTTACTTGTGTGTCGGGTGGCTTGAGCGTCCTTGCCCCCAAAACCCCCTGAAGCCCACCTCCTGGCTCTGGTTGGATTTCATTGGGCCGGTGCTTTCCAGTTTCCTTTCAGACTTTCGACCCCTAAATTCGGTTCCCCGGGGCTGGGTTTTAGGGCGGGGTAAGGCGTGAGTGCTCCGTTCCCCAGGTGGGTGTTCAGTCCCCATCCTGCAGGTGCAGGTGGTAAGAAGGGGCAGTCGCCTGGCTACCCACGCTGGGTGCCTGTGGGCCGAGGAATTGATGGACCCAGAGCCTGCTGGGTCTGCGGGCTCCGGGGCGAACCCCAGGCCCGAGAGCACCGTGGGCAGGTGTCTGTCACATGTCCCCCCCGGCAGGGCGTCCCCTCAGCCTTTGCGGGTGATTTCCCCACCCCGGCCTTCTCCGCCAGAATGGTTGCCTAGAAAAGGAAACGCTGCAGGCCCTCACGCCTGCGGGTGTTAATTTGTGGTTATACAGACAGACTGCATGTATCCGGGGCCTGCTGGGCAGGAAGTAGGTGATTCATCAGGAAAAAAAAAATAACAAAAAATACACTCTTACCAAAGTGAACTTCCTCTTTCAGATACTATTTGTTCGAGTTCATCCTTTTGGAACCTTCTCCTAGCTTCATTAGAAAAAAAAAAAAAAAAGGCAAGGCCAAGCTCAGTGGGTCACACCTGTAATCCCAGCACAGGAGGCAGGAGGATCACTCGAGCCCAGGGTTCGAGACCAGCCTGGGCAACATAGCGGGACCGCACTTCTACAAAAGATTAAAAAGATGAGCCAGCTGTGATGGTGCAGGGTCTCCCAGCTCCTCGGGAGGCTGAGGCAGGAGGATCGCTTGAGCCCAGGAGGTCGAGACTGCGGTGGCCGTGAACGTGCCGCTGCACTCCAGCCTGGGTGACAGAGGCTCTGACTCAAAAAGTGCATAGGGCTGAATGCAGTGCTCCAAAGAGAGGTTGTACCAGTCCCTCACAGCCAAAGGCTTGCTTTCCACCAGGCAGCATCTTTTTACGAACCCTGTTCCCTGCAGGCCAGGGCGAGGGTGCAGGTGCCCCGTGAACGCGTCACTCTGGAGATCCCCAGTGGCCCCGAGGGTGCCTTTGGCAGCATGTGTTCCTCTGGGAGACCCCGCGTCACCTGCTCCCCCTTGTGTCTGCCCACAGGTACAGGAGGCCGCCAGCCGGGGCCTGAAGTTTGTGGGAGTCGTGTCTCAGTACTGCACCCCTGGGAGTGTGGGCAGCAGCCCCCCGACTCCCAGTGCTACTGGCACCCAGGACACCGGAGACGCGGATGGTGACCCTGGGGACCCTGTGTCACTGGAGGATAAGAATCCGGGTGCTGCAGACGCGTGCCCGGGAGAGGGCGAGGCCCGAGAGTGTCCACCGCAGGGGGTGTGTGCGACACCCACCGGACCCAAGGGCGCCCCGCTGCACGGGCCTGAGGAGCCAATCTCGGGAAGTAAGTACGGCAGCACCAGGCTTGGACCAGGAGGGGAGGCTGACACCCTCCAGGGACCCTGGGTCATCCCAGGGGAGGGGAAGGGCTGGAGCAGCCAGACCCAGCACCCAGCGAGCCCGAGCAGTGTCACCTGGGCTGCCGACAACCCCTTCTGCAGGGGCAGCTTGGGAGGGCACAGGACCACGGGAGGTGGACTCAGTGGCTGCAGGACCCACATCGGAGGCAGGGTCTGAATGTGCACACTTCCACCCACACTCGTGTGTCATCCCAGAGTCCCTCCGTCACACGGAGGCGGGTGGCATGCCCTTCTCGGAATGTCCCCAGTACAAGGCGGCCAAGAGAGAGCCGGCTGAGGCAGACTGCGCAGGCAGCGGGGTTCAACTCATGGGGGTATGAAGGCCCAGGTTTCAGGGAGTCTGTAGTGAAAAGTCGCGTGGGAAGAACATCCCACCAAGGAGGGCTGCCAGGACGTGGGTCCTCCGTCACCAAGCGGCTGCCAGCACGCACGGCCCGGATCTCAAATAACAATAATGGCTGGCATTTGTTAACACTTCCTGAGTACCAGGCCCTGTGCCAGGAAGCCATTCAAGTGACCGGCCTTCAGTTCTGCCATAGTCCCTGTGCAGTGGTGAGCACTGACTGTCACCACAGCTGACATCACAGCCAAGGGACCGGGACTGGGGGTACCTGTTTGCTACCCAGGCTGGAATCGAACCAGGCGTGCCCGTCCCTTCGAGCCTCTCTGCTTGGTCTTCCCTGCATGGTTGACCAGCAAGACCCCGGAAGCCTGGGCCTACGGGGAGCAGCTTCCTGGGTTTCTCGGCATTTCACTGCTCTCTGCTTCCCGGGAGGCCTGGCACCCTGTCGCTCCCGGGAGCAGAGGACCCAGGCTTGTGTGCAGCCCCGCCTGGCTGTGAAAAGGGAACCAGGGCCCCGGGAGGACATCTTAGAAAAGGCTCCCTTTGACTGGTCTTGGTGGCTCAGCCTATAATCCCAGCACTTTGGGAGGCTGAGGTGAGTGGATTGCCTGAGCCTGCGGGTTCGAGACTTGCCTGGGCAAC